CGATGCGAATCGAGACTTGCATCAGGGCCGGGCAGTCCTGCAGGTCCGCAGTAGGGACACCATGGACCACCGGGGTGAGGGCGAGATGCACTTCGCCCGCCGTATTGATGGCGATGCCGGCCGTGGTTCAAGCCAGGAGCGAGGCCGAAGGCCAGATGGCTGGGGACAGGAACAGTCTGTTGCTAGGGACGGGAAATCGATCCGTCAGGGCAGGAGCATGACAAGAGGTGATGGAGTTGGCGAGGCAAGCAGCGTCGGGTCATTCAGCACAGATCCCCGAAGAAATTCAGCAGGTAAGAGAAATAGACGTTTCATTTCCTGACGAGTGGTTCCTGTCTTTGCGTTTGGTTACCCTGATCCCACACCCGCCTTTCCCCACTTTCTTCCATCCCCAAGAATGCCGCAATTCCACTCTACCGGTACTACGCACGCACGCACGCACGCACCAGCGCACACGCACACGCACACGAGTCGGGGCTGCGTACGAGCGATTGAGTGCTTGTCCAGCAAACTTGTTTACCGTTGTTGCCCCATCATCATCATCGCTACACACACTACAACCCCAAGTCTGGCCACAAGAACAAAACAACCTCGCGTCAGCTAGTCTTATTCTCAGCACTACAACTCTTGGGCCCGTCTCAGCAGCATCTTCAATCCAAACGCATTCACAAATACTTCACGCGCTACAGTCATTCGCCCAGGTACAATTGGGCCCAACATGGGTGAAAACGTGAGCGGCGCCTCGGGCAAGATTACAGACCGCCCTTTCAGCGGGGGCCCTTCAGCCTCATCCTCAGCAAGCCCATTCCCGTCACCCAATACCGTGAAGGAGAGGAGCCGGGCAAAAGAGGTTACCGACGGATCCACGACACTACTCGCATGCCCTCTCTGCCCAGCGGGGATTGGATGGCCCCCGCGTAGCTTGTCCGTCCATCTTGGCAGCAAACACAAAGGCTGCAATCTGCGGGTCGACTACAGGACGATGACGGTATGTGAAGGGGCGGCCCCGAGAAGGAACCCAGGCCGCCCGCAGATGGATGCGCCGGCATTGGCTGCAGCAGGGCCGCTGCCACCTCTAGCCTGGTGGTCAGCCCCCGCTGCAGGGCCCGGTAAAGACGCCCGGCCACGCTCGGCTCCAGCCGCCGACCCGAACCTCGTGATGCCGCAGCATCTGCGGTGGGCGGTGCCGAGGGGCATTAAGGGCGTGTCTCCTGCTTATTTCATCTCAGGTGGGCCTTCTTGCCGCAGGTCTCGAGGCTATCTTGCCGCCTAAACGTGGCTGTAACCACTGTGCTGACGTAAACATGTAACAGCAGATTCTGCCAGCCTCTACGATTCGGAAGAGAGTATTGAAGATTATCCCGATCGCCGCTACGATTTGCAAGAGACCGATTGGGCAGCCCCAATCTCGGCCGAATACTACGACAGCCCCACCCCCAGTTATCACAGTGACCAGCATCGAGGCCGACTGGCGTGGGAATCCACAAATGTAGGTGGCTCGGCTCCCGGCCGTGTCCCCAGGAGCAAAGTTCAAAGTTGCTAACTCTTCCCTGCATCCAGAGAAAGAGGGCCCTCTCCGAGGTCTCGGCAACGCAGCCCGAGTTTGGGACAGACACTCGAGGTTCTCAAAAGGTCAAGTTAGACTCTCACACGCGGGCTCTACTTGATCGCACGAGCGAGGCTTTAACGCAAGCGAGCACTTCCATCCCTTTCAGCAGCACTCTAACCAATAAAGCCACGGTGACGCAACACGAAACTGGTGAACACCAAACCACGGCCAGTCAAACTGCCCCGATTCAACAAAATGAAGGTTTTCGTGCCACTTCTGTTTTATCAGATCAGCCTGATGGAGGCTCGACAAATGGCGTCTCTGATGAAGCGGCCCCCTCACGCAAGACACTTTCAAGCCCTCCCACGTACCCGTTTGCCTTCGTACCTGCATTCATTGCTAACAATCATTCGCACAACTCATTGACATGTGTGCTTGAACGGGATGCTAGCGTTATTCCCGGTTCTGGCAATGAGTTCTCGATTGATGAGGTGCGGTACAAGGCAGCGCCGCACAAGGAGTCAATCGAGGCGTCAGAAACGAATCTCCCTGAAGACGGACCCTTTAATCCACATGGCCACAAAAAGGTTGATATAATGGCAATTCAACATGTGCTGGACGATACATCGTTCCCGGCTGCGGTGGCTTCGGAAGAAGCGTTCGTCGGTACTTCGGCTATTCCTGCAAGCAAGCCAATCAAACAGACTGACAAGAATACACAGAAGTTAATGGAGGCGCTTCTCCGTTTGAAATCCGCCCCCCTTGCTCTTCGACTTGAAGTATTGAAGCGAATCAAATTGTTACAGTCTAAACGCGCCACACAGCCTGCTCAACCCAGCAAAACTGTTTCCTCTGATGCTGAATTTGTAGTTGCCGATGCGCCCATTCCAACAGCGGGCCCAATACCGCAAATCCGTCCTGTTAACCTTGTCGGCCAACGTCTTGAAAAATCCCCGGCCCAAAATCAAGAGCCAGAACCCAGCCTTGTACCTGAGCAATTGGCTCCACAAATTCACGCTAACCTTATCGGCAAACTTCTTGAAAAATCCACGGCCAAAAGTCAAGAGCCAGAACCCAGCCTTGTACCTGAGCAATTGGCTCCACAAATTCACGAGGGTGTCACCCAAATCACAGCATCTGTTGGGCCAGAGGATGAATCAAGGAATGGTGTAAATGAATTGCACAACATGGTTTCTGATTAGAATCCAGCAACCAATTGCAGTCAAACTCAAAGCAACATTCCAGAGAATACACTTGATAAACCAGAACAAGCCCTCGCATCGTTAGCAACTCTTACGGGAGCAGTAGATCCAACACTAGACTACGCTAGGCCGACTGAGCAGGTGAACCCAGTTCAGGACGAGCTGACACAACACAAAGTCCAGCAAATCTCAGAGCTTGATGCGCAAAAGAAAAATGATTCAAGTACCTTGGCCATAGAATGGATTGAAGGTTTTATTCAAGATAGGTCGCTGGCTGAACCCAATGGCCCTAATAGCTCGTCGCAAAGTGCAAATGCACATTCTGACAATGACTCCATTGGAGATCTATTTCCGGACATGAGATCTCCCTCTCCCATCGACGCAGCGGCCGTTCGCGAGGATAAAGGCAAGCAACCTATGCACAATACACGTGAGCCAATGGTTTTCAGAATCCCTGACCGACCTCTCTCAAAAACACCAATGAGAGGCGGGAGCAATAGGATGACGCCGAAAGCAACAAGTCGACCGAGGGATAGATCTCAGAGTCTAGTCAACGATTTTCCGCTTCACCAGGCCCCACAACCAGTGGCCGCTCCAGTCCAGAAGCCAAAGGTGTATCGTCGCAGCCAAAGGCCAGCTGGCACACCCTTCATCTTGTTTATCGCAAAGGAATACACTACGGCCATCTTTGGTGGAGCTGAGGAGGGGGTGGGAGCCATTGAGATCCTTCAGACGTGGTATGCGCGGCACCCGCTCGGGATACTGATGCATCCCGAGTTTTCGCCGCCCAAGAAGGTGAATGAAGATGATGATGGGCTTCTTGAGGTTGTCCGAGAGGTTGCGAGGAAGATTGGGCGGTGGTGTGTGAGGATGAAGTTGCGCGATGGGGGGAAGGAGTGGGATGCGATTGTGGTGAGAGCGGTTGAGAAGAAGATGGAGGAGGAGATGTGGGTGTGGAGTGATGAGGAGTGAGTGTGAGAGAGTGGAGTGTGGTGTACGATGTGGGATTGAAGAGTCGATAATACGGTTCGGGGGCGATAGCTTGAAGAGTATTAGGGAGTCGGGAAGGGGAAGGGGGTGGGGGGGAGACAGGGCGGTATAAATTATGTGCTCTTGGCCATCTTGTTATATCATTTCCTACTTTTTACTTTTTTTGTTTCTTGCTCGAGTACGAGATCTTGGGGGTCATATCCTCTTTGCCTTTTCTTTTTTTCTATGGGTTTCTCTCCCTTCTGTTAACTTTTTTAACTTCTTTTATCTTTTGAGTTTTTTATCTTGTTTCGATGGGCATATACTGTTGCTGATATAAGTACATAAGTAGGTAAAGCATGGCTTGCTTTTTTTCTCATTGCAAAGATTTTCCTTTTAGTTAGCTACATACTCTCAAGTTCCATTCATTAATGTATCGCGATAATGATAATAGCTTTTATGGACCAGGCTAAGGTCTTTCAATTTATGGATATATGTGTTGGGACTGGTAGTCTTTAGCACCTTTGTTCAATGGGGAGGGGGTAGTGGATGTTTGCGATTGAGTCATCCATTCATTCATTCATTTATTCATTCACCTAGCGCTATTACGTATACGTTGTCGTATTCCCGAGGCTATGGGTAGTCGTATTTCTAAACGGAATGGAGATCTGTAGGGAGGGGGGCTACCTCTCTTCTACCTACCTAAGTGATTACTGGGAAGGTCGCTGTCGCTGTAATTGTGTCCTCGGTTGGTTCCTATATACTTTCATCGCTCCATCGCTCCTGTGGTCGTCGTGGATGGGGTGTTTTGGAATTTGGAAGATTGATACGCCGCATCATGATGGAGGTACCTACCTGTTATAGTGTTGTAAGATCTTCATGATCATGTATGTATGCGCAATATGATTCTCATTCCTTCGGTAGGTAGTTATTTCTCATACAGAGGACAGGCAGGTATCACGATGCATACTTACACAGCAAGCGTTGATGTGTTAACTATACTCAATAGACTCCAAAGTGTAAAAGCCCGTACATTAGGTTAGGTATGTGCAAACCCTGTCCTCGCTCCCGCCTCCATCCCTAACCACAACAAGCCTAACCTACTACCCAATCAAGTAATCAAGCAATCCACCCCCCTCAACCAACCCAATCCAGCCATTGCATTGCTGCGTTGCAACGCGCGCGGGAGACGATTGCAACTAGAGTATAAGTCCAGATTAGTGGGCAAGGATGTGTGTGTTCTTAGTGCTAGCGGGGTGAATGTGCTACATGGAATAATAGCCCGCATGGCCAAGTGGTAAGGCGCGTCACTCGTAATGACGAGATCGTGTGTTCAAATCACACTGTGGGCAAGTTGACATAACTTTTTGGGGGATTATTTTTTTTTTTTTTTTTTGGGGGGGGGGTGGGTTGGAAGGGCGCGGGGAAGGGGGAGGAGTCGTACTTGTTTTCTTTTTTTCTTTTGAAAAAGATAGAAAATTAGGTAGGTTTGCAATTGAGGTCGCGGGATCGAGGTGAGGTTGGATTATTTCGTAGTGTTGATCATGAGTGGGTTGGGTTAAAAATAATATTTAGGTAGATAAAACGGAAAACATATTTAAATTTAAATAGGGAATGTTTCAAATGCTTCCAATGTACCATTGGCCGTGAACAATTATCGATATCCTATGCCATTGCCCAATATCATATCGCAATTGTGTGCTTCTATATGTTATTCAAGCTCGACCACCAGATCGCTATATCCACTGCGGCTAGCCTTAATTGATCGAAGTTAAAGTCCAAAAAGTCCAAAACTATACTAGCTACTCGAGTATAGTCTCGTGCCCTCGAGTAATTATCATGATATAACCAGATAGGGTATAGCGCGGTAGTGCTCTGTTAAGTAGGTGTGGGTTATAAGTGGCTCCCGCTTACTTTACTACTACGAGGCTTGGCTTTTTTTTCAGGAACGAAGTGGAGACTGATCATGACAGCTGCCTCTACGAGGGGCTGGGAAGGAGGATCATTCCTCTCTCCCTCATTCCAAAACTATGGAACCACAGCCACCGAACTTTCCGCTACTAACTAACAAAGGCAGAGCATCCATCCACACGTTTGCAACGAAGGTGGGAAAAATCTCCAACCCCCCCCGGCGGAAACGCTCTGCTAGCAGCTCTTCGCCCAGGGTGAATCGAGACTGGGAGGCAGTCAAGTCATCTGCACCTGAATTGGCTTTGGCTTTGGGAAGGGGCAGGCAGCAACAGCTGCAACGGCAGTAAGATACATCCCCCTCCACCAAATATGGTATAACTGGGGCCGCGTGCGCAGCAAAAGAATTTGTATGGAGTTGAGTTGATCCTGTCGACTGCTCCACACCATCTTCTCGCCTCACCCGGGGATATCGATCTGCTCGAGTAAAGCTAACAACTAATACGGAATGGACAAATGTCACGCAATGCGGCACGGCACGGGAGACCGGAATGACGCACTGGCGCTGGCGTACCCGGAGCGGGTGGGGTTGACATGGCGCAAGTGCCCGAGCCGAGCCGAGCTAGAGTAGAGGGCGGCGTTGCACGCCAGACTAGAGTGCCCAAGTGTCAGCACCCTTAGTCGTCTGACATGTAAGGATATTTCCCACCTGGGAATCTTATCCTAAGCTTTGCCTGTCGAGACATCATAAGTACATGGGCTGAAGTCCCAATATTTTTTGCACCAAAGCTTCTTAAAGAGAATAAGTAAATACATGGTCTGGTATAGATAGGTACATAGATCTATTGGTATACACATGTCTATACAAATTCGAACTTATTTACGCATTTCAAATATAACTACCTAGCTAAATTATAATAACTATATCGCAAAGAAGCTCAAGCTTGCCTGGCCGATCATGGGAATTCGAGCTTGATAGGATCGATCCGGCCGCGGGAGATCCCTCCACCACCAGCCTCCCACCGCCAACACAGATATATAATAAAGACACCAAAAACAAAGTAGTTATAATTAGAATGAATACAAATAGTTAGAAGTGAAATTTAAGCAAGTAAATACATCAAAAATCAGAGTGGGTGGGGGGGATGGCTTAGGGGGGGAGGGGGGAAAGATATATCGACAGGTATAAGATCATTCATTACCAAAAGACAGCGAAAGAAAAAAGGAGAAAAGGAAAAAGGAATCATAATAATCATCAGACATATACAATAAAAATAAAAAAAAATAGAGACATCGCAACACATGTACACATCCCAAACGAGAAAAAAGATCCAACATAATATCCTAAAGGATATCACTAATAAACGACGTCAGCCCATTGAACCCAAAACCAATAGCAGGATCACGAACATTACCACCACCGCCGCCGCCGATACCATCTCCTTCCTCATCCGTATCCTCCTCCTCACTCTCCGTCACATACTCCCCCTCAACACTCGTCTCCCTCCACGCAGGGTAATCAGAGAGCCCATACTCATGGTGCCTCCCGCCACCGCCAGGCCCGTATCCATGTCCGCCCCCACCAGAATGCACGACGCCATTACCATTGCGCTTGGAGGAGCCGGGGTAGTTATACCCCGATCCCATCCCAGAGGACTCCCACGGCGGCTTACTCGCCGCCTGGACCGCACCCCCAAGAAGTGCGAGCGTGACATCCGAGTTGCGGATGAGTTCTTCGAAGATTGTTTCATGGCGCTGGATTTCGTGGAGTTTCCATGCAATGAAGCCGATCCAGAAGGAGAGGAGTTGGTCACCCCCGCCGCCGGCTTGGCCTGCTTGGGCGCCTGCTCCTCCTCCAACACCACCACTACCACCACCACTACCACCACCACTACCACCACCACCATTACCACTGCCATTGCCAGTGCCCCCTCCATTTGGGTTATTGATACCAGATCTCGTTTGCATCCTCTTAAAATGCGGCATGACCTGCGATGGCTGCTGATGATGCTGCGTCTGCCTGTTCCTCCTAAAGAAACTCTTTGTCGTCGGTAGATTATCAAAGCAGTACAGCACAATATCCACAATCTTTCTATAGTACGCCTCCTGCGCTCCCTCGCCCCCATTTCCACCATTAGGATTGTTCTGCAAGTGCTGCTGGGCTCTCTGGTGAGAACTCATTTGATTATGGGGGCGGATATGATGCTGGCTTTGATTGTGGTGATGGTGGCCGTTTCTCCCGCCACCGTGGTATGGATCTGCGCCGCTGCACCCACCATACGTAGATCCGCTTGGGGAGGTGCTTGTCTTTCGAGTCTCCTCCTTTAGACGAGCTTGGAGTTTCTTGAAGGCCTTGTCCTGGAGAGCACGGATGTTGAAGCGGTCGCCGAAAACGTAGAGACGGGCGTGGAGCATGAGGGGGTCTGTCATCATTGACCAACCACCCTCATCACTGGTAGCCGTATTCTTCTTGTTATTACCGCGGCTGTCGTTATCGGGGACGGTGGAATTTGCGCTACTGTTGCCATTGGTGGTACCATCGTTCGTACGAGTGGAGCTGGTTGATGGGTTGTGTTCAGGTTGGGGCGAGGGCGGTTTCGAGTAGGACTTGTAGCTCCCAGAGTATACCCACTCCACGAATCGCTCGACAACATCTGCGTCAACATCTCGTAGTATGAGAATGTGGTCAAGGCCTTCTTTCATGTTGTTGTAGACATGTTTGTGGAGCTCTGGGGAGCGGGAGGCGAGGAGGTCTTTGTGGACATAGAATGTAGCTTCTTGCGGTGGTGGGCTTGAGGGCGCGGAAGTGGCAGAGGATGATGCCGAGAGGCTTGATGGAGCGGTTGTCGATTGATTCGAGATTGAAAGCTCGCTCCCTATCGGCGTAGTGGATGCTGTCGTGGATGTGTTTGGGGTACCGACAGTTGAAGGGCCGCCGATGATGCTAGTTGGAGGATTTATAGCACCATTTCCCGACAAGTGTCCGTTTGAGGTACCGCTCCCACTGGCAACAGCACTCCCGTCACCATTCGCGGAACCCTTTAGTCTCCGCTTCTTTGGACGAGCAGCTGGGGCCCCTGGAGCCCCTGGGGCAGTTGGTGCGATTACTGAGCTGACGGAGCTACCTCTCCGGCCCCTTCCTGTGAGTGCTTGCTGGTATTGAGGAGGTCGGTCTTGCTGCTGCTGCTGCTGTTGCTGCTGCTGTAACTGTTGTTGTTGTCGCTGATGAAGCTTCTCCACGTGGCCAGGACCGGCGACGACGATCTTGATCATCACCGGGGATTGGAGGAAGCTGTATGGAGGTCAATATCTTGCCAAGTGAGGGAGGGGGAAGTGGTGCACGAACCTGACGATCCCCGTGGAGGCATTCCCGTGCTTTGAGGCCATCGCTGCCGGATGGAGCTGCGATGCAAGCAGGTTTCGGTGGGCGTGGGCCTCTGGAATAGCCGGTGGTGATGGGATGGATGTGTAGCAGCCGGGTCGGGATTTCAATCTGTCAGGCGAGGAATGGCGATGGCAGTGGCGCTGGCAATGGCGATGGCGATTGCGGTTGTGCTGGGCGTGGTTGGCGATGGATGATGGATGAGAGAGATTACGTGTGGTGTAGTGGTGTAGCGTTAGTGCGCCCTTCGAGAGAACAAAGAATCAGTTACTGATTACCGACACAAGCGACCGACCGAATGAGGAAGGCGAGCCCAGAAAGAACAGCGGAAATCAAGAAGGAATAGAACAAGATCTATAAAATAAAATAATGTAAATCCAACAAAAATACAGCGAATAGGATAAAAAAAATCGGGGACAAAGAAGGAAGATGGGATTCTTCGAGCTGCCGACCACAGTGCTGGTGCTTGACGACAATGTGTCTTTATTTGTAGGTACTGAACCCCCTTGCAATCGCCCCCTAGCTACCCCAACAATCCCCTCCGAATCCAATCGATAAACTCCTGTCACCCAATCCCTCCACCCCCCTTTTTTTCCCATCCCTTCGATGCAGCCTGCCCATGTTCACCTGCGGTCCGCAACGAAATGTCTCAGTTGGTGGCCATGGTCAGGATGCATCCGCTCCACGGCAGCGGCGTGTCAGCAGCATTGCAGCGCTGCAGTGCATCGTGCGCCCAGGGGTGCACAGGTGGAATGGAGGAGCCGACGGAGGAGAAAGATGGGCAAGTAGAGGGAATGGTGCGATTGGGGGGCTGTGGAACGAGGTTCATGTCAAGAGGTGGCAGACATGCATCCGTGCTCCACATATCAAAATCAAGCTTATCCAGAAACATGTTTAAAGTAATCTACTTTATGCACTTCGGAGAATAATTTATCCTAATCAATATTGACTAGTACTGATAAACAACCAGTCTGCACTGAAACCCAGTACCGTGGTCTTTGCACGCAGCCAGTGGCGGAATAAATTAACACACTGTACATAGATGAACAGCCATAGATTAAACATCAAACGAACTTGGACTCGCACATCAACTGCCCTGAAAAACTTGTGATAACAAACAGAAACATCTTCAGAGCCAGCCTCGTGCATGTTCCAAAACCGGGATATGCCATCATCTGGCTTGAATGGCCCATGCGCAGTGAGATGCCGCCGCTGAAGCCTTGGCCCAGTTGCAAACAAAGCGACTTTCTCGTTTGGTTCGAAATTCGCCCAGAGTAACCCAGTCTGTCTGGTGACCAATTGCAACATCCCACCTTGCGATATAGACCATGGAAGCTGATGAGATGGGGATGGAGAAGCAGGTGCCTTTGAGATGAGGCAGCTCATCCCTTTGCCTTGTATTCTGATGCCCAGTTTCTACAGCCGTCTCGCGCCCCAAACGCTGTCTTCAAGAGGTACATAGCCCTCTCACCTCCACTGAACGAACGTGCAGAGAAAAAAAATTCAATAGCTCAAACAGACAAAAATGCACAAGAACAGACAAACATCTGATTCAAGAAACTTTTCATTCCATCTCACTTCCGAAAACATTCAGACCCAGTTCGAATCGCGCGTCATGTGCCTTTTGTGGAATTTTTGAAAAAGCAAACCAGATTGGGGGGTATATCCGACTACCAATAGTGAAAGCTGTATCTAGAAAATTTACCCATCAGAAAATATTACTCAAACCGAAATTCCAAAAGAGGAAAAGAAAAACTCAAGGTGATGGTCAGGTCATACGGGTAATCATCATCCATATCACTACTACTTGTAACAGTGTTGATATCATCATCGTCATCGAAGTCATCTAATTCATCATCGTGTTCTAATTCTTAAAATTATTACTTATTTATTCAGCAAATGCACAATCAGAAATCAGACGAATCATCAGAAAAATCCGAGTCTGATTCGGTTATAAACGAATTAAACCTTTCCCACTTACCGCCACTCGTTCCTAATCCACAGCAGGGATTATGAATTAACCGGGTTCCCGCCAATGATGCTCTGTGTGATTTCCAATCTCGACTATTGAGCCTCTTGTTCTTCGCCACTGTCTCAACCGCCATGGACCATGGTATCTTGCCCGTAGATATTAGGGTCCCTTGCTTCATGAGCAGACACTGCGCCAACCGAGGATGCTTAAACAGCAAATCTCCAAATGCCTTCGAATTTTCCTGGAACTGTGGCAACATCCACGCAATGTATCGTGTCACAATTCCGAGGACTGGATCAGACGTTGGCGCGGTCGAGTTCAGCCAGTTCCCTCCCTGTTCGGCATCGGCAGGCGCGGGGACGTGTGTGAAGAGATAGTCAATCACGGACGTCATGGCCGCGTGATATTTCTCCGGAATACGGTATCCAGTGGCAATGTTGATTTCTGTGCTGCTAGCATCTGCAATATTGCAGAGGGTGAAGAAGCGTGAGGTATGGCGCTGGATCGCACGTTCGAATTTATTCTCTGCGATAGTTTTGAGCGGCTCGATGTTCAACTTCAATGCCAAAACGTAGATCCGTGAATGCAGTTTCAAGACACTTCCAAGATTAAAAAAGTCAGCGAGTTTCCAATGCTTACACACACACGCACATATAGGCACAGAAGGGGGTAAACAACTTACACGACCATCTTATCCACTTTCTGATCCGGCATCATTCCCATAGTCACTTCCGCATCCCCATCTGGCAAGCTCTTATACCTTCCCGAGTACAACCACTCCACAAACTTCTCTGCCACCGCAACATCCGTCTGTTCCAGCAAGAGCGTATACTCTCCATTCTCCGCTCTGTGAATCAACTTTTCGAGCTCGGGTGCTCTCTTGATCAAAAACATTCGATGGATATACCAACATCCTGTCAGTGGCTTTGTATCCTCCGTGGTTGTGGCGGTGGTTGTGGTGGTGGTAGTGGTGAAACTCGATGCCTGCTGCTTGGCCTTCTCCTTTTCCTTTTCTTTTGCCTTACCACTTCCCCTATTACGTAGACAGCGTTTTTTTCGACTCCCGGTATCGAGATTATTGTTGTGCGTATCGGCGGCGGCTTCGACTACAGGCTTGGGAGCAGAAACCTGTTGTTTTTGTTGTTGTTGTTGTTGTTGTTGTTGTTGTTGTTGTTGTTGGGAGACCCGGACGGCAACTAACTCTGGAGAGGACAACCTAGAGAGAGCGTGAGCAGATGGTCCCATGTAGAAATGAGAGGAGGGGGGGGCAATCGTTGGATCATACCCTTCATTAGTCCACCCGAGTGCCAGATCTTTGGCGGCCATAATTAACTCTTCTGGTCGACCAGAGGAACGGATTCGAGGGATTCGAGACTAGATTCGAGTTTTTGAGGTTGTGGAGTAGCCTCGTTGTAGAGGTTTATGGGAATTAGATGTCGATAATAAGGTGAAGCCTTGTCTCGATGTGAACTGTACTGGAGCTGAGCCAACCTCGTGTACTGAGTGAGATGGGTGTTATTTCTTTCGTTTGTAACACACTGTGTTGATCAATGCATGCTGCGTGGAGTGGTCGGAAGGTCGAGACTGGTCGGAAGGGTCACTCCAGGTGGCAGCTTTCCCTACGTATGTACTTCACGTGTTTTCGGTGGCACCTTACTCATCGCAGTCTCGTGCCCAGCCCCTCGAAGAGGGTGTTTTGGCATGAGACTTGAGGGCGTTTGTGCGGGAACTTTTTGATGAGCGGCGAACTAGCTCAGGGCACGAGAAACACTCAGGGTCCCTCAAGGTGTTAAACTAGCCAAAAAACTTTAACACCACCACATCGATGGATTGAAAATGCACCCCTTGCTAAGCCGTCAATTGGACAACCGAGTCCCATTCCGCAAAATACAACGCTTCACTCAAAGTGAATGGCTTTCCGCCGTGCCCTGGCCGTGCTCTGCGGAGTACTCTTCACTGACTTAGAAAACGACAAGGACTCTTGTTCGCCAGATTATGCGGTAGTACTAGGTACCTATGCATATTGGTAGCCTCGACCCGCATATTGGCAATAATGTGAAATATCCAGGCGAATTACATCACAGCTCCGTTGGTCTAGTGGTATGATTCTCGCTTAGGGTCCACAACCCTGAGTAACATTTGCGAGAGGTCCCGTGTTCAAACCACGGATGGAGCCTGATACCCTTGGTATATCCAAGTGTGTCTCTTTTTTTTTGGCAATTAATTTTGTTGTTCCTAACTTACCTAGGTAAGTCTCATGCCCATTACGGAGAAATCAATACTATTGCGCGGTCAATTCCAACTACTTATTTATCACCCGGGTTTTCAAATTTTTGGTTCCTAATTCCTCATGATCATACCTAACGGTGAATACTGGTGAGTGAGACATATCTATATACCCATAAGTGAGACACTCGTTGGCGGCCTCCTAATTGAGGGAGTGGCATCTTCAATGTGATATTCCACAACCACCACACCTCGTATGCCAATATCGTAAGCCATCACATTAATCCACAATGCCTCAAGATTCAGAAGAAAAACATGAGATTAGCGATTATTGCAGTACAGCAGCATGAATTCAACTCGATACGACGTACAGCAGAACTTTCCAGGACGGTAAAGAAATCACAAAACAACGAAATGAAGCAGCTGAGCATAGGCAATTGGCATCAGCAAAGGCCGACTTGTCTCTACCGGCGGGCGCTTAGTCTTATTCCCCGGCGCTATGGCGACGATAGCGCCCATCGGAGTAGTCTACCGCTGTAGCGACGGGCATGGCGCTACAGCGACATCAGGGTAAACCAGTGTCGCTACAGCGCCATTACCCTGAGGCCGTGCCGCTACAGCGACAAGTCGACGTTGCAGGCGCATGCTTCAATTATATGCAATAATTCAATGCCACGGAGTCAATTCACCGCCAAATCCATGCTATATCCTCAGCAAAATCTACCCCCGAATCACGAGAACACGCCGAATCCGCTCCCAAACCTATATATAATTCCACGCCGAATCCATAGCCAAATCCAGCGTCAAATCCACCGCATACAATGGAGGCGTGGAGTTTGCTGTGCAGGAGTGAGTGGAAGAGGAGAAGGAATCGACGCTTGATATGCGCATTAATAGCACATGGCTGTGTATTCGGCAACGAGGCTGTGTAGGCTGATCATGTCCGAGCGAGGAGGCCTGTGGGCCGCAGACCGCCTCCGTGAGAGTGGCAGCGCTGGCTGGGCACGAGACTAGCGGAGTGAGGTGAGATCCAAGGCCTCGTTTATTACTCAAAGTAGTTGATTTGGCGATGGATTCGTGAGTGGATTCCGGAGTAGATTTGGCAGTGGATTTGGCAGTGGATTTGGCGCTGAATTTGGCGCTGGATTTGGCTATGGATTTGGTGGTGGATTTGGCGGTGGATTTGGCACTGGATTCGACTTGAGGTCAGGGTAATGGCGCTGGGAGACTAACCTGAACGGGTGGAAGCCTCTTCCGAATCGAGCCTTTGGGACCACTTACAAGACGACGATACGGTTAGGGAATCTAGCTGAAATGTCTCACCCGTCAATTGGGGATGTGGTTTAGTGGTATAATACCTCTTTAGCATAGAGGTGGTCCGGGGTTCGATTCCCCGCGTCTCCATTGTTTTGTCTTCTTCATCCAAAATGAATCGTTTTGGCTGACATACTTTTAACATTTGGCTGATCATGCATGATCATGAAGTGTACATGTTCTGATCTGTACTCGTTCCCAGGTTCAGATCTATATATATATCATGATGAAGTTTTCATCCTCCTAATAAGAATTTATAAATGGGTAGGTAAGAAAGAAATAATGGGTTTCTACTTTTTCCGGAGAACATTTTCCCAGTAATTGAAAACCCTTTAATTTTCTTTGCTTTAAATTCGAACGTTAACATCCGGAGATTGATATCGATCATGGTTAAGTAAATATTTAAATACAAGAATCAAGAAAGTGCTTTCGAATTCGGTAAAGGAGCTACGAGGCCTAGGCCTGAGAGTTCGGGGCCATTGCTTTAAATTTTCTAATTCGAGTCCACTCTGGCCATAGGAAGGGTTCGAATCAATACCTTTCTTTTGAACTGAGGTTCAGCTTGGATATATGCCAGTAAGGAAAAAAGACCGAGACACTGAGAGGATTTGAAGGGAATGAGATCGATCGAACAAGCCAATTTTGGAAGAAAAAGAAAAAGAAAACGATCATGAATTAAGTAATCGATATCGGAATATATACATCCACAGCAACTCCTAAGAAAAATGACTGCAAAACTCTAGGCGTCACAAGGACACATCTTCACCGCCCAGACGTCATCCGTGTAAAAGACACTATTCGGTGGGCAAGAAACAATCACCACCAACCTCAACGAATCCGAACCCCCGGTCCCGGCCGGCACAAAACGCGCGCTAACCTTCGCCCACGACCCATCCCCAGGGATATCCGTGGATGGGACAACACTGTTCCCGTTCAAGACCCAGGATACCGAACATGGACCACCGGTGCCAACAACACGATGGTAGGCGCTGAACTCATATGGCGTTCCACGCTCCACAAGGATGAATTGCGATAGACGGCCGCCGACGGTGGCGGTGGATGCAGCCCAAGAGAGGCGGTAGCTGCGGGTGCCACTGACGGATCCTTGATTGGTAACTGAGCCGGCTCCAGAGAGACCGGCAGAGCCTGCGACCGTTTCGGTGGTCCAGGGGGGAGAAGTGGTTCCGCTACTGACGTATTCGAATGAATAGTTGATGACGGGGTATGCATTTGTGGAGCAACTGCGCATGGGGGGAGAGTAAGTTAGTGTTGAGTCATGATTTTTTTAGAGTAGGCATGTGAATAGTTTATCAGGGGAGAACATACGGGCATGACGAAGCTGTGGCGGGGGGTGTGAAGGTTGTGGTCTCTGTTGCCGTCACTGTGACGTTCACTGCTGGAAGTGTAGTGGTTGTAGTTGTGATTTCGGTGGTAGTCTCCGTTGCCGTTGTAGTCTCCGTTGCAGTACTGAGATCTGTTGCCGTTGTCGTCTCGGTGGTTGTTTCCGTTGCCGTTGTAGTCTCCGTTGCAGTACTGAGATCTGTTGCAGTTGTCGTCTCGGTGGTTGTTTCCGTTGCCGTTGTAGTCGCCGTAAACGTCAAGTTGTTGGCAGGCACAGTGAACGTCTTGGTCTCGGTCAAGGTGAAGTTATAAGAAGGCAGGGTCACAGTGGCACCTCCATTGGTCACGTGGATGGTCGAGATTGACGGAGTGCAGCTGAAGTTACCTGGGACATTTGTGGGCAGGCTCGTGAAGATCTTGGTCGTCTCCCACACCGTGGCAGTTGTCGTGGCTTGACACGTTGACTTTGGCCTCTTCTTCTATAAATATTCGAATTCATATCGAGTCAGTCATCCAGATCCAGTCTGTCGATCGTTGTGATTTTGTCTGCCTTACAGTGCATTGTCCATTTCCCTTGCCCTTGGAATGTCGCTTCTCCAACGACTCTGTAGCTGCGATAGCCGCGATACGGTAATCTTGACCTCTCACACCAGTGTCCTGAAGCTTTTCCAGTTGTCGGGCCCGATAATCCTCGCCCCGGATGTCCGCAACCTTTTCCGCGCCCACAATCTGCCCCACTAGCGCCGAGGACAACAGCAAAACGAGCGTACCAGAAAAGAGTGACTTCATGTTGAAAAAAATCAAGTTTTGTAAAGACAGTGATGGAATGCTGAGCAGGAGTGTTGAATTGATTACTGCTTTTCGCGCGCAAACGAAAGGACGCAAAAGAGTGAATATGGTGAGTTGACAGGTAAAAGAATTACAACTACCTACCTTCCTTTTTCCCACAAATCTTTTGAGGGCCCTACTGCACACATACCTTGGCCGACTGGGGTGCAAACAACATGCTGAAAAGGGGTCAATATCAAAGTGGGGCCGCGATGCCTTCTCGATGAATGTTTTGTATGGACTTTGCCTGAAGTAGCAGTGATCTGCGAGTCTTGTCTAAATCTGTAAAACGTGGCGGGCGCCATATGCATTCGCTTAACTTGGCTGGGGAATTTGGTGTTTCTTTAGGGCATAGCGGGTCGCGATATCAATCACTTCGAGTAAGCGGATGAAGAAGGTTTGCCGGTACCCGGAAGCTGCACATCCGGATCTACTCGAGTACGAGTACCCTTGCAATGACCGCAAACTCCGGAAAATAAGAGACCTTGCAAATATCTGACGCCTTTCCTTTCATAGGTAAAATTATACCTACAGCTGCACCTGGCTATACCGGAACTCAACATACCGGAAACCTTGGTATTCCGGACACAACCCCTCGAGACTTGTGGTTTTCTACTTTTTACCACCAAAATACCACTTGCTATACTGGACACCGGACCGGACAGACTTTTCAAACTCAAAACTCCTCTTTTCATACAAATTGTATTGGCTATTCCGGACAGTAGGGCAAAATCCCCCCAAAAATTTTCGGAAAACGCCTGTTTTGGTAAGTATTAGGTCCAAAATACCACAAAAAATTACCACGTGATTAAGTATTTTTAAAATTCCTCTAATTTCGCCCTTATAATTCCACTCAAGCCTTAGCTTGCATTTGCTATTCCGGACACTCGCTATACCGGACACTTTGTGGCAGATTTTTGCCGTCCGGTATAGCCAGGTGCAGCTGTACCTAATCGAACAGCTTTTGGGCAGCTCGGTTGCAACGAAAATCTTGGTGTCTCTACCTACGAGTAGAGTTAGCCTGGCCTCTTATTTCCCAGAGATCGCGATACCGGCGATGAAGCCCCACACCCCTGCACTTCTCGATTTCCCACAGCGTTTTAGACCGTTTCAATGTCTTTTCACTCTACTCAACACAGTGTAGAACACAGTACTTCTTGCCAAAATGTGTCTCCTCAGAACATCATCATCATCATCAGATATGAATTGCTTTCTAAAAAAAAATTCAAGAGCGCTTGTTTATTGGATTATGCTCAACTTTCCCAAGCCCCCAAACATAATGCTTAATTTTGACATATTCAACTAGATATTGCCACGAAATAGACTTTAAATTTGTTGCCATATTGGCTAGGTGAGACTTTCAAATGTTGTGGGAATTTTGCGAGATTGGCTGGGGGTGTGGGGCTTCGTCGCCAGTAGAAACCGGTAAGCTTACTTAGTTGGTGTACCAACTTTACCACATTGTAT